TCTTGCTCAAGGAGAGCTGATGAGCCCTTCATAGATGGTCGAGGCTATGGCCTTGATGACCCAGCAGTGGTAGCATACAGGGCAGTGGTTCCCCAATGCTAGGTCACTGGTCCTTCCCATCGCCATTCACTATATTCATAAAAAGAAGTGAAGAGTACTTCGGAGCCTCCCAGGATGTTTGATGAAGTTACTGGCCACCACCAGCTGCAGCTGTTTAAAACAAGAGAGAGAAAGAGAGATAAAAAATAGGCAAATGAAAATTCAGCTATCAGTGCACATAAATGATTCTAAATGAGGTAGTTTGAAATCTATTATCTTTCCAATTTGCTCCACTTTAAAACAATATTTGGAATTTTGTAGTCAAAATATCTCTATTCCATTTTACAAAGTTCTCACAAACTTTAGGGAAAGAAGAATACAAGTGATTCTTATTTGGTCCATAATTACTGCTTATGCAATAAATATAGAAACCCATTTTGTTTCATTTTCAGATAAAAGAGTTTCTTTTGTTATTAAATACTAAGTACACATTCTCAATAACTATCAACATTATGGGAACCAGATAACTATCATGTTATTCATGATAGCATCATTTTAAGCAATAAAGATGATAATAAATCTTATCTAGAATTTATGTCACAGAAATCAAGACTTCTACTCACAATTTTAAAAAATAATCTAGTAACATAATTCCATAGAAGTACTATATCAGGATGCTTCTAATCCCTCATCTTTCAATAAAACTAGGCAATGGTCACCAATCCCCTAAGGCAAACTGCATCCCAATAGGTAAACACTCTCTGAGTAATTGTGTGGATTAAGCAGAATCATTATGGAGAACAAATGAACTCACTTCCCTTTTGGCATAGGATAATATTTGCCTAGACTGTGAAGGGGAGTGCACTGGACTGAACAAGCAGAACCTTTGGGAAGCAATGTGAATGCCTGCCATGGAGGAGAGATCAGAAGCACCTGAGAGGCAGGGAGCAGGAAAACTAATGGGTAAACAAGAAACTTGTCAGTCAGAACAAACAGAAATACTAAACCAGTGGGGGGAAAAGAAGATGAGAAGGAATGGAGTTTACACAGAAAAATCCCCAAAGATACAGTGATCAGGAACAGCATCTTCTAGAAATAAAAACATAAGATAAGGATGGGGTTTCAGGTATCTAAGAGGTAGTCAGAAGATGGATGAGGAGGATGATGATACATTCAAGTAATCCCAGGACTGTAGAAGCTGAAGCTGGTAGATGGTGAGTTCAAGACTCAAGACCAGCCTTGAGATACCTAGGAAGTTTGAGACCAGTCTGAGATACAAAATGAGACCCTGTTTCAGAAAATCAATAAATAAAACAAAACTCAATCAGAGTCTCAGATCAATTTCCTTTCTTAGCACCAATGTAGAACTTCTCATATGGGCAGAAGATTGATGGACTTTCTTTTTCTTCCTGGAAAAAGTAAAATACAAGTGTTCAATATCTAGAAAACTACAAGGAGTTCCACAGTGAAGACAAGAAGCACACATGAATGATTTATAAGCTTGAAGTTGAGGCCCACCCACATCCTCATCCCTCCATTTGCTAGGCTGAAGTTTGGTGCTGACTTTTCTGGAACAGGAAAACCTAAATATACTGACAGGGTTTCATGGAGTTCTTTGCCCCTGCCCCATTCATACACTCAGAGCATACAAATTTGATTTATACCTTGGCTGTCAGGAGCCACAGACGAACAGAGGGAAGGTTGTAATGGTGACCAATTGGTGCGGGAGAATTATCTGTATTCTGTCAATCATATTTTAATAAAATGCTGATTGGCCAGGCAGGCAGTATAGGCAGGAAAGCCAGACAGGAAGTAGGGGTGGAGCAATGAGAACAGGAGAATTCTGGGAAGCAGAGAAGTTCCTCTGCCACTCCTGCGCAGACCACCGAAGAGGCAGCATGTAACATGCCCAGCTGAGAAAGGTACGGAGCCATTATAGCTAACATAGATGAGAATAATGAGTTAATATAAGTTATAAGAGTTAACAAGAAGCCTGACCTAATGGGCCAATCAGTTTATAACCTAATGTAGACTCTGTGTGATTTTCCTTGGGACTTGCTGGCTTGTTGGGGTACTGGGTGGGACAGAAACCCCAACAAGCCGGCCCTCATGTTACAACCAATGTCAGAGGAAGACAAAGAGCTTAGAGAAAAGAGACTATGAAAAGCTGAGAAACTTCAAAAGGAGGAATTAATATTTTTATGAAGAAAGGACATTACTGTCTTCAAAAAGAATGGGATGCCATTTAGAAACTAAAATAATTTGGCAAAAGTCAAGTTATAATGGCTGAAGTGAAAAGACCAGAAGAAATTTTAAAAATTAAAGCTAAGAAGAGTGGTAATTGCTAAAGCAAAAAGACATAGAATAAGAAATAAATAGGAATTTTACAAACTGGTCCAAGATGCCAAATATTAGGAATTCCACAAGTAGAAAATGGATAGAAAGAAATCACTAACAAGAAAATTGAAAAATTACATGCAATCAAAGTGCCTGAATTTCCAGAGTGATGGGGCCTTCTACAACAGAGCAGAATGTAGAAGAGTATAATTGGATGAGGCACAGAAATTTAGATATTGGATTGGTGAAATACAGAAAAATATTAATCTTGAGAAAATTAGTATAGGAAATAATAACATCCTAATCCAAGCAAGTAACATGAGCAGAATGCTTAGAGAATGGATGTGAAAAGAGCCAAATCCTTATTTGCATTGGAATCAATAATTAATTGACAATAAAAAGAAGAGGTAAAGAAACAACAAAAATGTGCCATTTGGAGATGAGTCACTCGAGAACCAAGTAAGAGAGCTGAAAAAGTTTGTCTTGGTGTAGTTGGGTTGGGAAGCTGAGATCGGGAGACAACTGTCTAGAGTAGGGAAAAGGGGCTGATTTGTAACTTTGTAAAAGAGTTCATAATCGTGTGCATCTCTTCAGTGCTCCTCGGTAGCAATGGTTGGGACAAGAATAGTCTGCAACCTGTACAACACCATCTTCACACATGTCAGCTTCTTGTGATTCCTCTTACACTTCTGCATACTGGGAGAAAATAAATAGCTTTAAAACTTTAAGTTTAAAGGAGACAAGGAAGCAATGTCTTGAGTCATGCTCTTTGGGACTATCCAGCATTTTTTCCCTTTTCTTACACTGTTGGGTCCTCCTCAGTGCATTTTAGTACTTCAGGAAGCTGAACAGGCATATCTTCTGCAACAAGTCCTCACTGGCTGCAACCACCTATTAAACTCTTGCCCAGATCCAGTTACTGACTGAGGGGTTAGGGGTTATGACCCAAGTGGGCTTGATCTAAAATGACAAAATCCCACAGAATTTCAAGGAAAGAAATTACCTCATCATTTTCAGGAAGCTATTCAAATTCAAGACTCAGTTCTCTTGGGAGTTAATATGTGGTCAAGAACTAGGATGGGAATCAAATAGCATCCTGGTAGACGTCAGCTGCAGTGAAAGCAGCCTACTCTCGACTGAAAATGGACTCAGTGTTGAGCACATTCTCAGTGCAGATTTTAAGTGAAGATTCAGACATGTGATCCCAACTACTCGAGAGGATGAAGCAGGAGAATAACAATTTCAAGGCCACCTGGGCTACATTGTGAGTTTAAGACCAGTCTGATCCACTTAGACCTTGTCTCAAAAATCTTGAAAAAGACAAGAATGAACAAAGAACAAAAACACCAGTTTGTAAGGAAGGAAGCATGGGATTTCGGCTCAATGAGAGATCTTGCTCAAAACTTACAAGGGTTTGGAGTTTCAACCTCCAGTTTCAGCAAAACAAGCAACAAGTGCTCTGTAGATTTACAGGACCATGTTTACGTGTTTTAACAGGTGTCTCTTTTTCAAATTAAATCGGTTTGAGTTGACTATTTTTCAAAATTTCTAAGAAGAGATTAAAGTTCTACTACTAGAAAGAATTTATTAAAAAGTTATGAGTTAGGAAAGATTTTCATTCAAGTTGTTCAGTATCTTTTTATTATCATTGTGTTGGTGGTGAAGGTTGTGCTGTTCGATCAAGACCCATAATTAGTTTTTGCCAATAAAAGTAGCCTTTATTTGAGCAATGATGCACTGCCTTATTTTCAAGGGATTAGGTCTAACTTCACCACTGTAGATACACAAATCCCAGCTGTCATATTGTTGATTAGTGGTGGTAAATAAAAAGCCTTTGTGCCCAGTATGGTTGTAATTTATTTTTCTGAGTATTTATAGCACGTAGCTGCTTACATCTGTAGATGCAGTCACTCAGCAGTTAGAAGTATATTTTAAACACTGAAGAGGTTTAAAAAGCAGTGTAGTTAGCCTGCTAACATACAACTGCTATCCTAGTTGTTTGGTAGGCCACGTCCAGAAGGTTGCAAATTCAAGGAAAGCCTTGGCTACAGAGTCAATACAAGGGCAGCCTTCGAAACTGAATGATAGCCCATACCCAAATAAGCAAATAAAAAGTTTGAGGACACAGTTTTGTGTAGGTTGATCCTGGGGTTAAGCTTCAGTGTTAAGAAAATAATAAAAGTAAAATGTGATAGGATAGAAAAAACTTCTGATGGTGACTATGGTGAGTTCAGAAGGGGATTCATTTTCCTCATGTATAAAACTAGTCAAAAGAAGTCCTAATGCATTTGCTATTTGCACATGACCGGAGGTAAATATTTATTATTTTCTGCCAGGTGTTAAGATCACTTTTTCATCTGTGCCCCTAAGTTTACATTGTTGAATTTTTCCATCCCTTTTTCTAACCACCTCCCACGGAAGAGAAATCAACACCTTGGATAGAAACTTAGGAAGATCTGAGATGATGGATGGTGGGAACCATGGAAAGAGCTATTGGGGACAACAATGCACTGACCATCAAATGCTTCATGTGGAGGAAGGAAGAGTGTACTCTTAGGAACACTAGACATCCAAACAAAACATATCACCAACCTGCTCGAGCAGCTGCCATTTTTTTGTTTCGCATTTTGTTCTCCAAAGCTTGCTATGCAATAAAACAGGAGAAAAGAGTACATTCAGATTTCTTCTAATTGACGTTGGTAAAGACGTTATAAAACATACATATGTAATACATATGTAATTATATTATACCATTTTCATCTTCTTTTTTAGATCCAGATTTGCTGCTTTCTGGCCCTTCGCGGTAGCATTGAGATAATAGATGGTCAAACTAAATTAAAATATAAAATAGAATAAAATAAAATTGATGGCATTTCTCAGTTTCCCATTATTCTCCTTAAGACTATATTAACTAATGATAACATGAAATGGAACACAAGGTACTCTCTACTCAAAGGGTGATATTCTGAATGTAAGAACTGAGGTCCAGAGAAGTAAAGTGGTATACTTAGAACCCATGTCTGGAGATGTCCATATACTTAGCAGAGAGGATGAAGCAAGAGGATTTCATGTTCACTGGCTAGGCTACATTGGAAGTTCAAGGTCAGGTAAGGAAACAGAGTGAGACCCTGGGTGTAGAGCAGCAGGTCACTCATCTAACATGAGTAAAGCTATAGGTTCAATCCCCAATGTCACTGAAATAAAGCACAGTTAAAATTAGACAATGACTAGGGCAAAGCCAGCAAGCTGACACAAAAGTTTTGGAAATGCCACCTAGTATGCTACCCGTCGTTCCACAAGGCCCAGTGTTAGCTCCTTGTAAGTGTATTATCATCAGTTTAAATTATAATTGCAGTCTCCTTCTGAGCAATGACAAGAGCAGCAACGAAAACAGCAGATCTGCTGAAGTTTAGGGAACGGGCTGAATGTCTGAACTTGCTATTTGGCCCTTAGCCTTTACAACCAAGAATAAAATCCTCAAGGGCATAACTTCATTAACATGGATTCCCCTCCCACCATAGAATACAACATTTGCCTTTCTTCCTCCCTCAAAAAGAAACTGTTTCACCAAGGAATAATTTTGGATTTTAAATGGCATTTACATTTCTAGAAAAAGCAAATTCCAGTTCAACGATTCTGACAAAATAAATATCCTCATTTTCTCTTTGGGCAAAATGAAGCAGCAAAGGGGAACTGTAGTAAAAAGGAAAGATAGCTGGTGCTGGCCCCACTACAAATAACTGGAGATTAAACACATTTTCTCTGCCCACCCACATGCCAGAGAACATCCTTTAGGAGCCATCTGGTGCTGGCAGCAGAATTATTGACACGGTTTAGTTCGGTTTATCTCTTCTGTGGTTAGCTAGAGCTTGCCTGAAATTACATATAGGAAAACATCTGGGGCAGCATCTGGCATGAAATTGTGTGTGTGTGTGGTGTGTGTGTGTGTGTGTGTGTGTGTGTGTGTGTGTGTGTGTGTGTGTAGAATAAGAATTTTCTTGGAAAAGTTTCTGGATATAGGTTAATGTAAAGTTCTCAGTTCTGGGATTCCTTAAGCCCCTAACTGGGTGTGCCTCACATTTTCACTGACAGCACCTACAGAAAACTAACCCAAATGCTATGTGAATACTGAAAACTATCCAAGTGGATTTAATATAGTCCACTGGGAAATTTAAAATGCTTGCAACATTCTCTAATTAATGGTAATAAAAATCTGAGCCAATTGCTGGGGTCTCTTAAAGAAGAACGTGGGGCAATGGAATTTGGGGGAAAAGATGAGTAGTAAACTGCAATTTGGATTTAAAGTCCAGGGTCTTAAAACAAAATTCAACCCCTTCAAGGAAATCTTTTTAACCCTTGTGCTGCCACGTTCCCTCTCTGTCAAGAACTGTGAAACTATGGCTCACACGTCAGAGTCAGCACCCCAGAGTGCTTTCTTTACTTCTTATATCAAGGGTGTTCTTTACATCTTTAGATGTTTAACTATATATATGCCATGACCAATTTTGTCTATCCTCCTATACTATCTACTTCTGCGTCACTAAGAGTATTCCATAAGTGCCATTTTTTTAGCATTGGGTCATAAGTGTCCTAGGACAGCTACAGATGAGACTCAACACCTGTGTAGTCTACAGTGTCATGTTGCTGTGTTAGCTGTTTTCGAACACCCTTAAACCATTCCCAACAAGCAACTTTTAGACCTTCTGGCAGTCCCACTGATTCCAAACTTTTGTTGGTGCAAATAAACAGAGGGAACCAAAGCAAGAGGGACAGGTGAGTCTTTGTCCCACTGATCGAACTCTTGATTCGGGAGCAGATCATCTGTGTGCTAATGACAATGTGATTAGTGCAGCTACTCCTTATGATTATTGTGGGGAAAACGAGTCACTCTGGGGTCCCTGAAATGAGAGTGGCATAAAATCCTGAGGAAGTTCGGCAGATCTTTAGAGACAGGCCTTCTAATACTGGTGTCCCTTTGCTTAAAAGCAAATCTCATGATAAATTATGAATGTAGTAGCAAAAGCTGCCCTTTGGGGTCTGTATGCGTATCTGTCTGTCTGTCTGTGTCAGATAAGATCTCATTTGTACTATTACAGAAACTGAACCAAAGGCTACAGGATCCTTATTAACATGCTCTCAGAAACTGCACTCTCAAGAAATTGTGGAGAAAAAAAAATCAATTCAAGGGCCACCTGGCGAATGATGTTTCTAAGAAGCATAATCTAGAGACCGGCGCTGATTCTTAATCAGGCTCTGTGACATAGGACTGTAACATTTGTTACTGCTGCAGGAGCTCTGAGTTGCTATTGCTCCCACCTGGACGCTGCTGCCATAGAAATGAAGTGGACACTGGATTTCTTGGGGTCTGCCTGGGTCCCACTTTACATGTTAGCATGAAGCTCACTTAGAAACGAGCATGTCAGTCATGTTTGTTCATTTATAAAAGTGAAGATGGGCCTTGTTCTCACCCCTTTCTGTGACTATGGCCGTGAACACGGCCATGAGGAACAGTCATGGTAACTGAGTCAGCATTCAGCTTGTTTATTCCAAGCTTATTGGAGTTTCAGCTCCAAGTTTTGCTCATTTCACCTTTAGATTCAGTCCTCCATATCAACCTTGTGGAGCCAGCATCCCTAGGAGTGACTTCGTGCTTGTTGTCACTGAGCCGAAGCAGCAGTGATTCCAGACTTTCTCATTAGGAGGGGCTGGTAAAGAGGGGGAGTATCCCTCTTAGTTCTTCCAGAAGACAAATCTTTATACTGCTCAAGCCAAACGTGAAAGAAAAATAGGGACAAAATCCTTCAGATACATTTTCTTTTAAATATCACTCTGACTTTTCAGGGGTAGCCTGGGGTAACTGGGAACACTCTGCTCCTCTGATTCTGTTACTGCAGATGCAGTTATTGACAGCCCGCTAAGGAAAAAAAAGAATGGGGTGTTATTTTAATGTTCCTTTGGCCTTTAGCCCTAAAATATGGCCTAGAGGGTCCTCAAGGGGAATATTAACACAGAGGCTCATAATTTCTGTATTCACAGCCATCTGCTTTATAGAATAAGAGGTGGGAGCCGTGCTGCGAAGGGGAATTCAACATGCTGATTAGATTTAGTGCTTAGCACTTATGTTTCCCTTGCTTTAGCTGTTTACTGATAATTATTTTGGTTACTTGGGAACAAATCTTATAATCCTAGGGAGGCAGAGACAGATGCAGATGGCTGTGAATCGCATCCAGCAGGAGCAGAAGATGGCTTGTGTCGTTCAGCGACCACCATCATGCAGTCAGCAAAGAATTTGGAAGAGAAGGGGCTCAAATGGAGACTGAGAATAAACACATACGCCATCACCAGAACGACAGCAATGACCAGCCCGGGGTTAGAAAGCTGCCGCAGGATCTTCGCCATCCAGCTCGGGAAATCATGTTCCAGGGTCTCACCAATGACTTCAAACATCCTGTTTTTACCACTGGTGGTGGTAGTGGGTGGTTGAATTTAAAACAAAGGTAAAACATGGTTACAGTGAGAAAAGAAACTATTTCTCTAACACTGCAGAGGTTCTCTTGTGGGTTAAGGATCTGATAGTGTGCTGTCCACCTAACACTCTGACCACATCTTGTTAAAACTAGAGGGTACAATATGAACAGAGCAGTCTCATCTTAGTACGCACAGAGAAGCAAAGCATTTAGGAAAATTACAGCTTCAGAAGAATTTTTAATAATGTACTTCTAAAATTTTGATTGAGTGGTATTTTATGTGTAGTAATTCCAACGCTCCCAAGACAGCTGCTCTGGGAGGACTCTCTCTCTCTCTGAACTCAGTATTCAGTACACTCGGTTTTTAATTGTCTTTGGAAATGAATACAAGAAATAGACTGGAGGGATAAAACTGGCAAATAACCCAACATCTCATTCCACACCACGGCTTCTACTCATCGCCCAGCCGACTTCATTTGTCAGAGATCTAAGTGAAGCTGCACTCCTGAAGGAGGAGCCTTGCACACAGATCCCTCACGCTGGACAGCTCCCAGTGAGATCCTCCTAAGGGTTTAGGGTCTAGGAAATTCAGCTCCTCTGAACTACAACAGTGAGAGCAGAAAGCTTTCACTTAGTGTGGAGTGTCTAGAATCGGTGAACTACTCATGGTGCCAAGTTACTTCCTTTGAATATGTGTATTGATCCTACTATAAAATGTTGTAATCCACAGAAAAGTGAAATAGGCCTATTTTCAGTTACGTTAGTATAGTATTACATATGCTTACTTTTGGTTTTTAATCTTTTAATATTTAAGAAAAATGGATATGTCCCACAACCCCCAGATCAGATGGAGTTCCCCCCCCACTTCAGATTGGATAAATACTATCTTTCAAGAGACACGGTGTAATCCCAAGTAGTTATCAGACTATGGATTATAGTGTTTTCCTTTACAACAGACAGATAAGAGTTGACACATAAAATCTAACTGAAAGGGACTAATGGTGACAAAAATGTCAAGCACTGTGCTCACTGTTAAAGCTCCACATGCTTAGATCTAGTTATGACCTCAGACTGAGACCGCTGAACATGAACAAATGAACACAAACAAGCATGAACAAATGCCAACATGCTTGGTGTTATTGTTTTAGGTCTGTGGGAGAATGAGCAGCATTTAATGGATAAATATGTCTAAATTTTTTATGCCATATAGGATGATTGCTTTATAGGAAAAATATAAAATTGATACAATGTAAAAAGAAGGTCAGGGGAACTGAAGAACTATAAACTGTTCAGAACTATTGGTGAAGATGGGAGAAGGCTATCGGATTGGAAGAAACATCGTTGAACAATTAGAAAAGCTTTCCTCATATTGTTATCAAAGAAATAGTTTTTAAATTACCAACAATTTAAATTAAATCCCCTAAATAATGATTTTAACAATTTTCTAGAAAACTTAGCAGAATGTGTTGGAAAAGTCCAGCAAATTGTTTTCATGGGTAACTAAGTGGGCTATATACATCTTAGCTGAAGACACACCAATAACCTAAGAACAATCAGACAGCATTATTGTCCTCAAATTCAAATCCGAGGTCAAAATTCAAGTTTCATATTAACCTCTTTCAAATGCATTGTTGCTGGTTTGCTGTCTGGCCCACACACCAGATGTGGTCTAGGAACCTTCGCTCAGCAGAAGGATAACACCACAACACCTAGTTCCTAAGGATAGCAAACCACAGAAATTGTGATTGTCTCATTCTCGAACAAAGTAGCTTTTCTGACCCTTGGCGTGGAGGAAGAATGAGTTGAGCATTGGCTTGGTCCACAGGAAGGAAGTTGCAGGAAAACTACCAGGAAACAGTAAACCTCTTTCTGATGCCCACTGCCAACATACGGTGCTTTCTGATCTCAAAAATAACAATATTGGTAGTCATTGCACCTAAATGTGTCAGTCAGAAATACATGGTAAAAGTCACATACTATGCCATGTTTGCCGTCCCTTGATTCCTAGTAAAAATCGGTGTAAGTTGGTTTTGCTGAGGAACCCAAGAAACCAGAAAGCCAGAGGGAATGGAACTTAAGAAGCTAAAATTGTATAATCGTTGCATGTTTCTGCCTCGTAATTCAAGTCTGTGACACCACCCAGCTTGGCATTTAGGTTTCCCTCACTTTGCATAAAAGAGCAAAGGTTCATTCTAGTGTTTTGCTGGGGAGGATGTAGATCAACTTCCTAGTAAAAGGTAAAAACATCTTTATAATGTATCTTAGATACAAACTCACATGGGTAGGTTTCATTAATGGTAGACTTTTCAAGGGTTTGTTATTTGAATTTTTCTTTCGGATTAATGGCAACTTCAAGACTGCAATTTCCTATTTAGCCTCCAGATGTCACTCTTTGCATTATTTATTTCAGTCTACTTACCAACAGATAGGTGAGCACATGTATGCTTGCACATGTGTATGCACAAGTGTACAAGCAAACACGTAGAGAAACAGAGAGAGGATGTACAAGGCTTATCAGTCAGTTTTCCAAGTCTGATAGATACAAGATAATTCTGAACTACTTTAGGAACAATAATTGAGGGAATTATTGGTGTGAAAACATAGTAAATAAAAATTTAGTCTTAGGCAACAAACATTCTGACTTGAGAAATCCCTTGGTTATGACAACACAAATGGAAAATGCTATTTGACCAGTAGAGCATTGGGTCTAGCATTGACAAGACTTCCTGCCGTTACACCCTCATTGCATCAAATGCATGCCTATCAGAAACAACATGTAGAGATAACTGAGGGGTTCATGGGTTCACAGGTAGTTCTGAGGGAATGAAATCCTATCCTCAGGCTCCCAAAGACGCTGTTTCTTGATATGTATTTTAGAAAACTATAGAAAAGCTAGCCTTAATGAGTCAAAGTGCTTTCTGGATCTTGATTATTGATTGGAGTAACACGTGGGTAGAAAAATTGTGAAAGGAGCATACCAATTTTCAATTTATGAAGTCCCTTTGGATCACAATATATAAAACTCTCTTTCAATGTGCATCATTATTTAATAGTGATTCCACCCACCTCTTATTTAATCAATGGGAAATTATTTCTTTTCAAGGTCCCCATGAAATCTAACCAAAGCCGATTTATGTGTGGATGTAATGATGCTATAGCATCAGGAAAACACTCATGTCTGCACTAGCATAGTCAAATGTTGCTCTTGGCTCTCCCAAATACGGAAACAGCAAGACTTTGCATCTATATTGTATCCTTACGAAATATTTCCCCTTTATGACTCTCAAGAGAGACAATAGCCAGGAATTGTCTGAGATGGTCCATGTCACATGATGGCATGACTACCAAAGAATCTCATTTCTACCAATGTCAAATGTCACATTTTAAAAAAGCCTGTACAGGGAATGACCGATCCCATTTCAACCCAAAATAAATACTATGCTCAAGTCAAATCTGAAATCTGAGAGACCTGAAGGGCCCGCAATCGAAAGATGGCGGGAGGGAGACGATCATGTAGAGGACGGGCATGGTAGACAGGAAGAGGATGAGCAGCAGCATGCCGAGGTAGAAGTTGTTGGATCTGGAAGCTTTAAAGACTCTGGCCTCGGGAACATTGCAGCACATCACAGCCCAGCACTGGAAATACATGGATGTGTGGAGCCTGAGGATGTTGATACCTGGAAGGCTCGGGGCAAAGAAGGAGCCCATCCTAGAAAGGAATCAGAACACTGCTCAATTCCAAGTCCAATGCCAAGTTGCCCACGTCCTCTTACCAAAATCAAAAACCATGTTGCTAGACGCAACCATAAATACCATGTCTATCAATAGTCCTATTTAGAAAAAAAATAACAAGTTTAGTTTGATGAGAAAGTCCATTTGCACAGTAATCTGAGTTTCAATATATCAATAAAAACCAAAGAGAACACTATACTTACTTCACAAACAGAGCAGAACCCTATTTTTTAAACTGTCCCAATTATAATAAAATCTCTATTTTATAATAAAATCTTTATATTTTTAGAACTTTAGTTTTAATAGTTTGTACTTCTTAAGTGTACATAGTAACTGTTTAACTAAGTGTGTTTACTTTTAATTGTCACCCCGACACAAGCTAGTATCAGCTGGGGAAAGAATATCAATCAGGGATTATTTAGATCACGCTGACTTGTGGGTACATCTGTGGAGAATTATCTTGATACACTAATTTGGAAAGACGCGCACACTATAGATGGCACCATTCCCTAGGCAAGAAATCTGAACTAAAATAATATGAGCATGTATGTGTATTTATATATTCATTCATTGTTTTCTGCTTTGTATTATAGACAGAATATGACTAGCTTTTTCAAGTTCCTGCTATCTTGAAATCCCTGATATGATGGACTGTCATCTGGAATTGTGAGCAATAATAAGTCATTGATCCTGTAAATTGCTTTTGTAAATTTATTTTAATCACAACAGGGAGAAAAACATAGAAACTAAGGCAGTGAAATTTTTGTATACTTAAAAAAATATTTTTAAATAGGAAGAAGAAAGTATCTTATTGCACTTGAACCATCCTAAAGTTAATCTTTTCTTTTAAAAAGTGAAATCTTGCCACAATTGAAATTATCTTGCTTGTAGGATGCCAAGCAACAAATCTGAATGATTTCATAATGAACTGATGGCAAACTTTGTAAGAAGTTATTTTTTAATGGGAAGATAGATTTTAAAACATCACTGTGCACCTTTGCTACACATCACTGTGTAACTAGCAAGAGAGAAGTTGGCATTTAAAAAAGAATAAGTTACCAATTGTTCCAGTTAGTTAGAATTACAAAGCTTAGCACCTGGGCTGATCAGGTCCACCTTGTTATAAATCTCAGGGTTGTATATGTGACTTGTTTGCGGCAATAAAAGATGATTATATATAAGATATCTCAGTTCTGGGAGAAAACTTTACCAGACCTATGTGGTTTTATGTTCTCTTCCAACTGCCCTGAGAGCAATGTTCCAGGTAGAGGCTATTCCATCAGTAAGTACTTCTAAAGTAAGGATAAGGCATGGTATCAGAGCTCTCCCTCAGTCTACACAAGATATTTTATTTTGAAGATGTGAGGGGTTCTGTTTCATTATGTACAATCTGAGACCAAGATGAAATTTTGCACACAATTCAAAATCTAGATATCTTAAATCTACCTACCTCTGTGTGTGCATGTGTGTTTACATGTATACATACGTCATATGTAAGTAATTTATAGGACTAGAAGAATGTTCATCAACGGCTATAGCCACTTACTCTATTTGTGGCTGAATGAGGGAGAGTTGTGTTATTCATAATTTGATTTGATTATTGTTTTTATTTGAAAGTTAAGCATGGTATAAGGAGATATGATTGTGTATCAAGTTGATATCAAATAGACTTCTGATGACTAATCTTGGTTGTCAACTTAACTACATTTGGAAGTAACCAAGATCCAAGCACCTTGGCATACCTGCCAAGGATTTTTCTTGGTTGGATTATTTGAGCTGGGAGATTGAGCCTAAATCTTCATCATTTGAAATTGGAAGATCCATCTTACATCTAAGCCACACCTTCTGGTGACATGAAAAGACATGAATTAAGGAAGCTTGTGCTTTCTGTCTGCTTGCCCTCGCTCTCACCGGTTCTCAATCTCATCAATACTGTGGTATCCCTTCCCTGGTGTTAGAACCTACTTCTTGGGAATTCCAACATTCATTAAAACTTGTAGCTGTATAAGATCTTGCTGAGACTCCATCATCAGATTGGGACGGCTAAGATTTCCAGTCTCATAGACAGAACTATCAGCTGATCTTTGGTCTTTCTGTCAGGATACAGCTATAGCTGGACTACTCAGACCACAGCCTGGAAGCCACTCAAATTATTTTTAAGATACATATATGTATTTTGTAATAATATAAATATAGTAAAATTTATTATAATATTTTATGTAATAAAAAATTTATAAATATAATAAAATACATATGTATATATTTGTATTTTAATCGATTAGTTCTGTTCCTTAGAGACTTCTGACTAACACAGTAGGTATAAAATAATTTTAAAATAAACATGGATGTGATATGCACATGACTTGACAGGCATAACTTAAAAACAAAAGTCCTGGCACAATAATGCCTCAGTGTTAATGTTGTCACCTCATCTTGGTTTGTGACTTATAATCAGCTCATCCCACTTAGTCCCTTACCCAGACCTAATGCCATCATCTTTCCACTAAAAAAATAAACCATTATGCCATCTTAGCTTTATAAAATGACTTTCTTCTAAGATGATAAAAGCAAAGGAAAGCATTTTTATTTGGCCCTCCTTGTTGCTCCAGGGGCACGCATGTATCAGGTAAATTGCTCAACCCTGAACAATGAGGGGGTAAAGGTGACAGGTCTGGATGGACGATGCCTAGTGGATCTAAAACTCCCCACTATTCCAACACTGTTTAGTGTCTACTGCCCCTTCTATATTCTGATCTTTTAAAAATATTATGTGCTTTTCCCATTTCAGCATATTACAGAAACATACGGTATTTAGTTTCAAACTAAGTGTATCAATGAATTAAATCACAACAAATGTTTTCACTTTGGCAATATCTGTGCAAGTAATCTGCAATCTTCAGCAACTTTTAAAGCAATAACTGAAGGTCTTGAGTCACAAACTGATGGAATGGAACATAAAAATTCCTATCATGTGTTGATTATATCAATAGAAAATGGTTAACAGGCACTAGCTCCTCATGTTTATAAACCAGCAGGATCATAGTGTGTGTGGACCCTGTGCAGAAAGAATATATATATCTTACATGTTACCCTCCCTACACCTTCCTACCATACCACATCCTCATCCCCTCATCAACTTCCAGGAAGTTAGGCAAAGAATATACATGCAAAGTCCTGACCTCATGGTAAGGGGAAGAATGAGTTATTTTGCCTCTGAAACTCAGGAGTGTGTGTTTCTCTGTTACATTCACAAAACACAAATCACTTCCTGATCTTTCATTTATGTTTAGCCTACTTGACTCAAAGACAAAATTTGGTATGTAATTTAAAACCTAAACATCCTTAAAATTATATACCCTTGAACTGAAAATTTTAATTGAATTCACCAGAAGGAAGCCTGACCAGTGTAGAAGAAGGAACACTAAGTGGCAATACAGAGATTTGAAGCATGCAGTTTTCTGTCCATTAACAAACTGTAAAAAAAAAGACAATTATATCTTTTCAGTATTGTAGTATGAACAATAGCAGACTCATGACAAAATTACATGCGAAATCAATCAGGGTAGTAATTACAATGACTTTTTGGACAATAACAGTGATTTCTGCTGTGTTAGCTCGAGAAGAACACAATAGACATTCAATGTAAGTTTACACCGGTGGCATCAGCAGTCCAGTGGCATCGGTGGCATTGTATGGATGCCACAGGTAGGGGAATGGTTTTTACAACACTCCAGTAGCTGTGCTGTCTACAGACATGGAAGAAGCTCCTCCTCCATAAGGGCTTCTCTCTCCCTCTCCTGGGTCTGTGAGTGCTTAGGTTAGACCTCCTTGTCATTCTTCCCTACATAGAAAATAAAACAACTCTCTGGACACAGGATCCATATTTACAAAACATAGAAAGCAAGGGAGGGCACAGGAATTACATTCTTAACCATGTCTGACCTGACAATCATGAAAATATTCTAATTTTTTTATTTGTACTGGTTCACCTATGGAGGCATAAATTCAACAGATCCCATTGATGAAATGATGGAGACTGAGGAGTGGCGGTTACGTTACTGAAACAAAATTATTTTTGTGTTTGCAGAGGGCTCGAGGCTCTGTCAGCATACACTGGGTCTAGTGATTCTGATTGGAAGGTGTGCATGACATATGAAGCTAATTTTTAAAAGAAGAAAATAAACACCAGCTAAATTTATTCTGGCGCCTGTGACAGGACGGTGGTACAGTTAGCCTTCAGTCCATGTCCCCAGGAAGAAAGAGCAGCTTCCCCGTAACTGTGTGTGGGTTGGGATGCTCAGCAGAGAGCGACAGATTCTAAGACACAGCAACACCAGATGAATTGCATGCTGTGATTCAATTTTTAAAACTCAAAACTGGTTTTCAATCTATCAACTTATCATAACCTGTCAGGATTGATAGTGAAAATGCCTCTACTTAATAGAAGATATGACAGACTTTTCACATCAAAATAAAAATTCCCTTGTGCAAATGGCCCTATTCAACACATTACAAAATGAAGATCTTATTTTTAACTTTAACTTCCTAAAATATGTGTTGTATCTAAATCTGTATGGTGCTGGGTTTGATAATATTTGTTAAATAATAGCTGTCAGGTATGTTTTTAGTATGTTTAAAGGTGACAAGAAAATGTTACCAGTTTTTCTCAAAAGCCATGTACAACAACATAGTTCATTCCTTACAAGAGCTAATGCGCTTGACTATTGTTGAGTGATGGTTTCCTGTTCAATCCTGGTGTGACAGGATGTAAGAAAAGAATCTTTACATCAATCCAGCAGAAAGAACATAGACTCTCAATTTTTATTGAAGGAGAACTGATGAAACAGGCTGATAATTTAATATCTGGAATAATTAAACTATCCACAACCACCCATTTCTACCAAGGAAAATAAAGAGCTGGAATTCACAGAATGGAGTCTTCTCTATACCCAGCTGCAATTCCTTCTACAACAATGACCTGGGAGACATTTCCCTATGTGCTTAAATGTCCAACAGCTGACATACCAGATCATGCCTTGGTTGAAGATCAGAGCAAGGACGTTGCCACTGATGTCAAATTCTGTGTATGAGGGCTAAAGAAAACACACATACTTGTGTTAGCATTTCAAACTGAAAATAATTAGCAAGCAGCTTCCCATCAATATACCTAAGCCCACTACCTCCCTTCAACAATAGTAGCAGAGTAACAACTGGAATACATAAAAATAGAAGGATGTAACACTTTTCAATACACAAAGACTCATTTTAAAATCCAGTTATAGGGTTGGCAAAATGGCTTCATGGGTAAAGGTGCTTGCTGCCAAGTCTGACAATGTGCATACAGTCTTTTTCTTTGGTGGAAAAAGAAAAACAACATCAACAAATCTTTGAAGCTATTCTTTGACCTTGACTCATGTGCCCCCATGGTATGTGTGTGACATCCCCAAATGAAAGCATGATGGGACACTGTCCTCTACCTGATGACAAAAGTAAAAGCTGAATCTAATCATTAGAAACAGGATGACAGTACATTGTAAAGGCTTTCAAAATCTCAGTTTCTTTGATCTGGTAAGTTCACAGGTAGGAATTTGTCTTCACAATGTCATCAGAAAGGCTGGTAAATTTTAATGAGGAATGATGAAACCATTTATGTGGCTAACATTAGATACATACATATACTTGTACCATGACATATTGTTGCTGATAACTCTAACCAGTTTAGAAGATTATCAAATCAGTGAAAACTGTGTTCTAATGATAAACTAAAATATATAATAGCCTACTATATTAGTAGAAAAAATTTTTAAGAAATCTCATGTGGAACTGTCAGTGGAAAAAAGACCAGTAAATCATCAGCAAATGTGAGTGACACAGAATTTTGTATATTTAAAAATTATTCAAAAAATGCTAATTAACTTTACAATAAAGTAAATACAGAAAAAGAAATAAAACAAAATGTAGAAAATACTAAATGAAATGTCCAGATATCATGTCATAAACAATCCTGTCCAGCTCAGTGCAGCAGCTCCAAGTTGCTCTTGCATAAAGACCCCCAATACTGTTGCAGTTGGCGCCTGTCCAAGGGCAGCTTGTCCAAAGGCTTCCTCATAAGACATTATCTATCCTAGGAGGAAAGCTTCTACATCAATGGATTTCTTGTTAATTAGCATGATTACTACAACTGGCTAACAAATTGAGCAGAGGAATTAGGAGGGCCAAGAAGATCACATGAGAGTGCTTGGTTCCTAAGAATACTGCAGAGCCTACTTTCTTCAGCCATAAGAACAGTTCCATCCCTCAACACACTCATACATATACACATGCATGCACATAAAGATGCACACATAGATACACAAATACATGCACACTCATACACATACATCCACACATGCACATACACTTACATGCATACATATGTGCATGCATACACATGGGCACATACACATAAACATACCATAGTGACAAGAGAGTATCTCAGTTTTTATGCCCAAGAACCAAGGGGCAGTAAGGAAATAAAAGAGTGGGAGGAAAGGATAACCAAAATGCATTGTACACATGTCTGAAATGGTCAAAGAACCAACTTAAATCATGTTGGAAGGCACACGTAAAAAGACAGAATAAGTCTCTGACTTGAATACCCAACGAAACTATCCCTATCATGGCCTCTTCTCAAGACCCTTATGAATTCAAGCCTCATATTACTTTCCCCCCAAAACAAAACTGTTTCTCCTTCACAACTTATAAATATGAACAGCCTACCTTGAAACAAATCCAGGGAATAAATAACAAACATGGCAGAATAATAATGCTTAAACAAGATGAAATGGCAAGATGAGACAAAAGGAAGAAAAGCCCTGTGTGTTCAAAGATGACCTGGATAATTTCAATAAAAACTTATTCGAGACAGTGCTAAAGGATACATGTAAATTATTTATTTAGTCTGAAGTTTTACTGGAATCATAATGTTCACAGAATACAAAAGGTTTAGCCTAAAGCTTATGTTCTAAAATCAACAACAAAAAGTGTCCTTCACCTCTAAAGTCTATGGGAGTAGAGATCTAACTTAGCTGATAGAGGACTTACCTGACACACACAAAAGCCCAGCTGTATACCCTAGCCCCAGAATAAAATGGATTCAGTGGCACATGCCTGTAATCTGCACATTTGGGAGGTGGAGGAAAGAGGATCAGGAAGTTCAAGATCATTCTTGATACATAGCAAGTGAGAAGCCAGCTCTTTATATTGAAGTTTCTGTATAGATAGAAAAGAAAAAGAAAGGAAGGAAGGAAGGAAGGAAGGAAGGAAGGAAGGAAGGAAGGAAAGAAGAGGGAGAAAGGGATGGAGGGAGGGAGGAGAGAGACAGAGAAAGAAAGAGAAAGATGGATAGAAGGGAGTCAAGAAAGAGAAAGAGGAGGGAAGGAGGGAGAAAGGGAAGGAGGAAGGAAGAAAAGAAGGGAGAGGGAGTGTGAGGGAGGGGAGAAAGAGAAAAGAGGGCAGGGGAAGAAACAAGAATTCCTCTAATTAGACAATATGCTCTCCAAATCTCTGTTCACTGGAGGGCTTTGTCCTATGCTGTCAAAGCCTTCTGCCTGGAGTTTGATTTTTGCCCATAGCCTGTGTGATCCACAAGCACATTGGAAAGCTGTTTAGTTAGGTGGTTTGCATCATCTGTGGCCTGGAACAGCTTCTTGCTGCCTTTTTAAGAATCAAACCTTCAATTGTGGTCGCTTTGGGCATCATGATTTAGCCAAGTATGGGGCATGTAACAAATTCAACCCTTTAAGTTCCTACTCTTTTATTTTCCCACAATGTCATTTTGAATGAGATATTTGAAACCTAACTTGCTGACTAGAAAAGCACAACAGAGGAGCTGGAGAGGCCGCTCAGTTGTCGAGAGCACTTGTGACAATGGACCTCAGTTCAGTTCCCAGCACCCACGTGGGAAACCTCACAAGTACCTGTAACTGCAGTTCCAAGAGCCCCAACACATTTTCTGGCTTGTGAGGGTACTAATACACATGTCTCATACATTTGAATATGTAGATACTCACACATCACAAAAAATAAAAAGAAAGAAATCTTTATAAGGAAAGCATACGGGACATACTGGGAATCCGCTGGCCTCCCCAACACAGCAGAAGCAACTGAAGGAATAAGCTGTCGGTTTTCTAAACTGACAGGAAACAGCGAGGCTGCAAGGGTGTCCTCCATGCTCTGTAGGTTTCTATATGGACATTTAACTTGGATTTACATTTGAGCAGTATGCTCTGCCCCAATGTTTCTCGAGTGCAGGGACCCGGTTTCCGCACAGATAAATCAATGAAATGAAATAGGCCTGGAGTCAGCACGTTATAGCCAATAAGCTGAGATGATGGCCTTCTGCTTTTGTCAGAAACTTTTTTATTAGAATAAAGCTGTACCTGCTCTGTCATGCGCTGTCATTCACGGATTTAGATTAAAGCAAAGCTTGTTTCCTGGAGCAGAGAGAATATCATTTGCAAAGTCTGCAACATGGCCCATTCCTTTTCAGAAAATCACCAGCTCCTGACTAGAAATTTTCTCACACCCTTTTGTAACCTAAAATCTGATATTTACTGAAAACTAAGCCCCAGTTATTTAAACAATTGCTTCTCTGTAAACACTTCAAAAATGGAATTTAATGTGTCGTATAGTAAACACGTATCTCCCCACTCTAAAAATGGCACATTTATGAGAAGGCAAAGTTACTACATAGATATGTATGATTCAGTGTTCATTCTTTGAGAGGGAAACTTTTTAAAACAATGAGATTGTATTATATTTAAAGTATTAAAATAATACTTTATCAAGTAAAAATTAAATAGCAATATATATATATATATATATACATTGCCTCTGAAACAGGAAAAAATAATGTATTAGAGTTAACTAGTGCATGAGAAAGAGGGAAATAAGCATGTTTCCTTGAAACCTGAGATCATGTAATGAGAGCAATGTAAGAAGCTCACCCATGGCCACTCACCCGGCCTGCACTGCTAGCAACAGAAGGACTCACTTCTTTTTGCTCAGAGGATAATAGCCCAAGAATGGAAGCCATTCTTGGGCTATTTAATTTACGTTCATTTAATTTTGAACTTTACACTGGGCTAGAATCAGGTATCTACCCAGGGAAGATATAGGGTTCACTGGACAAACACCCTGGGGAAATCCACTGAGCCCCTGAAAATTGAGTTATCTGGAGCAGAATGCCCCCATACAGCTGTTAGGAAATGTAGTCAGGCCTCAGAGTTAATGTATTCTGCCTTTGTAATGACCTGCCTGACCATTTTCACACAATTCCCAGTTCCCTACCCCACAGCTACCAAATAGAACTGCTAAATCCCCTAGGCCCTCTGTGGACTCTGATGACTGACTAAATTTGAGAACCTTGGATCTAGGATAAGCTTTAGCTTCATCTACCAGGATGATTCAGTCCTTGAGGCTTTGCCTTTCAACATAGCTGAGAAGTAGGATCCTGTTAGCTGCAGACTGGCTCTGTCCACAGACTGGAGTATGGTATCAGATGAACCCTGTTCTGTAGGTTCTGCACATTCATTCCTGCTCCATCATAGTATGCCCAAGTCTTCTTACTGTCTCTGTACCATGCTGTCTTCCTGAAGGCAATCTCATAAATCCTCATATCGACCTAGGGAGCATCTTCCATCTTCTTCCCTCTACTCATTCAAGTTTACTCCATTCTACTGAATGTAATGTCTTGAATCCAGGGAGCACCAGCAATTTAAGAAGCCATATGTTGCATTCATTCTTTGACAGAGTCTTTAGATACTCTGGGTTACAGTGAATGTCTGATGTAGGGTAAATGTAAATGGCTTTGAAGTAAATTAGACAGGGGTTCTAGTTATAAGTCTACTACTAACTGGCTATATGCCATTGAGTTAACATTCTTTAACCCTTAGTTTATTATGGAGTGGGAATAATAACTACTTCACAGCATTCTGGTTTGTTTACATGGAATAAAAAAATAATTTACTAATTTGTAAATTATTTGTAACACTTTTGATATGTAGCATGTACTAAATAAAAACAGAGTGTTACAAAAGGCCAAGTGGTTAGG